CATAAAAATAAGATACAACATCATTTATAATGTGGAAAATTTTTTAAGTGCCTGTATTTCGATCCCGACCGAAGCCACCTGCTGCGCGCTCGGAGCAGGTATAAGACTCGGCGCGACGCGCTACGATTCTTATCATTTGGGATGCTTATGCTTGCTTGGGTAATAAAGTATTACTTACCTGTTTCATCTAAGAGGTCATAGATAGCAGTAGTAGTGCTACCGAAAGTAAATAATAGTTCTAGTTCAGTCTTCAGTGTCGGTGTAACTGTTAAACGCTATTCGCACGACACGTGTGTTTTTTCTCCGCATTTCGTTAAATTTTGTGGTTTTTTGTCGGTATTTTTTGAGTGTACTAATATAAATTTGCATCATGAATGACAGTAATCGTGTGAATCGTTGTCGAAAAGGGACAAAAATGAGCAGCGGACATGAGAAAAGGCGAAAATCATCAAGTAAGCGACCGTTGAACCGATTTGAAATGGAAACGCCGGACGATGCGAATGTTAGTACATCTGCAAGAAAATTGAAAGACTCTGGTGATGACTACGACATTGAAGTCGATAATACTATTAGCTACTGCATGTTAAACTTTATTACAGTTTTTATGGCTATTTCGAATGCTGTTGTGTGTAAAGAGTGTAAATTAAATGTAACATTTACAGAAAGTGGAAAACGTGGCTTAGGCTTTAAAATTGTCATTTCTTGTGCAAACTGTGATAAAAAGGAAGTGCCGAATTGCCCATTTGTTGACAAAAGCTACGAAATTAATCGCAGAATTATTCTGGCAATGCGGATGCTTGGCGTCGGTCTGAATGGAACAATGAAGTTTTGCGCGTTTATGGATTTACCAAGGCCGATTTTTCAATCATTTTACGACAAGGTAGTAAAAACGATTTCTATCGCATCAGAAGCCGTTTGTAACAAAAGTATGAATAATGCAGCTGACTTTGAAAAGAAAAGATCAATTGAAAAAAAAACAAGAACATGGAATAAGTGTATCTGGTGACGGAACGTGGCGAAAACGCGGATTTTCATCGTTATTCGGTTTAGTAAGTCTAATTGGCTGGTGCAGCGGAAAAATAATCGATTTCGTAGTAAAATCCAAATATTGTAGAAAGTGCGAACACTGGAAGAAACAATTAGACACCGAAGAATTTGAGGAATGGTATGAAAATCACGCAGACGAGTGCGATGCGAATCATGAGGGATCTGCCGGAAAAATGGAGGTCGACGCAGTGATCGAGATGTTTCATCGTTCAGAAGAATTGTATAAAGTTAAATATGCCAATTACATAGGAGATGGCGATTCCAAAACTTTTAAAGGCATTTTAGATTCTGATCCTTATGAAAATTTTACTGTTACAAAAAAAGAATGCATAGATCACGTACAAAAGCGTATGGGAACTCGTTTACGTAATTTAAAAAAAGCCACAAAGGGCCTAGGAGGAAAAGGAAAATTAACCGGAAAATTAATCGACGAATTATCGATTTATTATGGCCTAGCGATACGTCGAAACCACGACTCAATCGAAAAAATGCGGAACAGCATTTGGGCAACTCTTTATCATAAGATTTCTACGGACGAAAACCCGCAGCACGAACAATGTCCGCCCGGTGAAGATTCGTGGTGCTCGTGGCAACGAATGAATGCCACCAATACATTGGAAGAACATCATCATAAAATACCAATTTCCGAAGAGGTATTCAAAGCCATAAAACCAATATATGAGGAATTAAGCAGTGATGATCTTCTCACTCGATGCATCGGTGGCTACACACAAAATAGCAACGAGTCTTTCAACGCAACAGTGTGGGCAATGGCTCCTAAATCAATGTCTAGTGGCAAGACAATTCTGGATATCGCCACACATATTGCTATTTGTGTATACAACGACGGAATGACCCCGATTATGGAAATTATGCAGACATTGGGAATCAAAATCGGACGAAATTGCTACAATTTCTGCATCGAAGCCGACGAACGCCGCGTATTACTGGCTGAAACGAAACTGACTGACGCAGCAAAATTGGCTAGGCAGGCATCAAAATCGACCAGAAAGGAAGAAGATCAGGAAAATACCAATTTGGAAGGCCAATTATACGGGGCAGGCATCGCAGATTAAAGGTATACAACACATTTCTATGATTTTTTCATAAGAAAAACTTTAAACGCGTTTTTCTCCAAACTAGTTTTTTCGACACGGCCGGAAACACAACTCGCTCAATTCGTTATCGATTGACTTGAAATTTTGACAGTATCTTTTAAACAAGATTATCTAGAGAAAGACGTACGAATTTTTGTTTATGTTGCATATTTCATTTGTTATAAACAATTTAGTGCATATTTTTTAGGCGAAAAAAAAAACGATTTTTTTTCAAATGTTCACCATTTTTGTAAAAAGTGATAAATAAAAATCCCTACGTCTTTCTCGAGCTTTTGGTATGTAAAATTTAAAAAATTTTGAATTTTTGTTGCAGAGTCAAAATTGGAGGAAAAACTTTTCCGGTCGCGAGGCTCTACATTTATGGCGTGCGTTCAGTCAACCACCTGCACAGCCGCCATTTTGTTTTCGATCGCCACAAAAAAAATTGTATAAAGGCTTCAATGTCTAGTCAATAAAGACCCCTAAATATAATTTTCATTTTTTTCGTTGTTATCCCTAAAAAAA